AGATATAAATTACCTGCCTACCATTTTTCTTCTCACATTGACACAGAGAGTACTCCAACTTTCTGTGTTATACCTCTGAGAATGCCAGTCACAGATGCTGGCAAAATGTCAGGTCTTACAATGCTAAGACCACGGCCATACAGCCTGGAAAATCTACAACAACTAAAGTAATTTCAATTGTTTAAAAATAATGAGAGTGTTACGAATCAACAGGGGAAGTTTTACATGGTTTTGTACATGCAAACAACCCAGCAAAGAAGAAGAAATGCTCTGGACAGTGTGAGCAAACAGGAGCAGTAGTGATCTGCTATGCACATGCCACAGGGAGATAAAGATTAGGGGATAAGTGATGAAGGAGAAGATTGGTTATAGAGCGAGTGAACAGATGTGCTCAGTGGGGAATAATGATTTTCACATATAGCGCAAGCACAAGAATATGAGGATATAGGCATTTAATGACTGTTTTCCCTTGGCTCCTGAAGAAACTGAGAAGCATCACAAGGAGCTATATAATTTTTTATGTACACCAGTAATGCAGTATATTTCACCTATTATAAGAATTCAGTTACAGCAATTACAAGCACTGTGTGCATTCAGAGTCAGTGTTGGTTTGCTGAGACTGTAAATAATATCTTTATACGCATTTCTTTCCATGAGCTTATTCCACAACAAAAACTCATAATGTCTACAGAGAAGATCATTTCAGAAACATATTGTTTCATCTACCAATGCACACAGTGCGGGCATCTGAAAGAATTCCACATACTGCAAGGCTGGCCAAGTCAGAAAAGCAGCAGTTCGTTGTGGAAGATCTCCATTACATTAAACATGGAAGATCTCCATTACATTAAACATCTTTGCCATTTACTGCTTGCAAAGAAGCGTAAATTATGATGACATTTACTACTTTACTGACAATTTTACTACAGCTTTACTAAAAAAAAGTCTACATGATAACTTGCAACATTTCAAAATTTATTAAGGGGTGTGAGTATGTGAAATGGTAGCATTAGGGCAGAGTTATAAAACATTTCTACAGTTTTTGTTTCATTCTCAAATATTACCTCCACCTTCCCTGACTTTTCTGTACCCACCCCAAAAGACTTTTGTCACAAAAACACTAATTAAGCCCACAAGAGACATGCTTGGACAAGTTCTACAATCTCAGATGAAAGACTTGTACAGCTGCCTACTTTCTTTTTTTCAAAAAAGTTCTTTTGCCTTGTCAAAAGGGATGCAAAAATTTAAAAAAGACAAATATTCAGGTCAGCTCTAATTAGCATTCTTAGTGGTGATTGCTGACTCAAGCTTTCAAGAGTCAATTTTGGAATTGCTATTTTCTATTACCACCCTATGCATTTGAAAAAATAAAACACACAAGTGGTATTAAGAACTATCAAAAGTGTTATGATTTTCTGTGAGCTCAATCCAGCCCTTCAAGCAGGAATGCGAGCCCCAACCCCCGCCGAGCCTGCACTGGTGGTGGGGGCTGCTTTGCCTC